CCTTCCCAGCGCCTTTGGCCTACTCCTGCATCGCAGCCTTGCCTGCGCCAGCCGGGAGCCTGGGGAGAGAGCCTCTGGAACGCGCAGCCCGTGCACTGCAGCCCCAGCGCCTTTGTCCGACTCCTGCGTCGCAGGCCTGCCTCTTCTCTTCTTATGGGCGTCCAAAAGCGACGTTAGGCATTTTGCACCGCCTTCAAACCCTCCCCCGCGGCTTCAAACCCTCCGCAGCGCCTTCAAACCCTCCGCAGCGCCTTTGGGCCTACTCCTGCACCGCAGCCTTGCCCTCTTCTCGGCAGCAGGCTTGCCTCTTCTCTTCTTATGGGCTTCCAAAAGCGACGTTAGACATTTTGGACTGCCTTCAAACCCTCCCCAGCGCCTTCAAACCCTCTGCAGCGCCTTCAAACCCTCGGCAGCGCCTTTGGCCTACTCCTGCACCGCAGCGTTGCCCTCTTCTCGGCAGCAGGCCTGCCCTCCGCAGCGTTCAAACCCTCCCCAGCGCGAAACCCTCTGGAACCGTACACTGCAGCCTTAGAACTGACCTCTGGAACCTGCCACCTCGGCCTGCACCTCGTTTCTTTGGGGTCCTCCAGGCACCGTCAAACCCTTCCCGGCACCTTTGGCCTAGTCCTGCAACACAGCCTGGCGCGGCTCCCGTTGGTTGCGTGGCTTCCGGATGATTGGTCTATACTCTATTTCTTTGTTTCGTGCTTGCGCTCTTGAACTTGCCACGTGTTTTTCGGGCATGGTTTTCCCGCTGGCGTGTTGTGTTGGCACCGAACGCGCCCAAACAACTGTGATGACCAGACCACAGTCTGGCACGCTGGGCATGTGTGCGGATGCTGCCGCGTCTGCGTGCTAACCGTGCCTTCTTTCACACAGAACTGGTTGCCGCACACGGTTCGGTGATCTATCTGCCCTGTCCTCACGTTACTTGCCACAGTTCCATTGCAAAATGGACACGCATAGACTAAGTTCTTCGCGGCAACGTGTCCGTCTTTGACACGAAAAAACTTCCCGCACACACGGCGGTGATTTACTTGGCCTGTGCGCACAGTGCTGGTGACAGACACCTCACAAAAAGGACACGCATAATGGAAGATTTCCTCGGCGGCCGTCTGTCCAGCCAACTTTGCCGGCGGTGCGAGTGTCGTCTGCGCGGCTGTCGGGGTGGCTTGCGTCTCTTGTTGCGGCTTTGCATGCGAGTTTCGTAGTGGCGGCGGCGCTGTCCTGGCTTGGCTGCTCACCGACACGTGTTTTGCACGCTTCGCTGCAGGCTCTGCCTGTGCTACTTGCGTTGTCTGTGTGCAGGGCTGGGTCTTGGTGGGCGTCGGCTGTGCTTGCTTGTCTTGTTGTGGTTCCATGTGGCGTTTGCGCGACGGCAGGCTGTCTGTGGAGAGCCTTTGTGCCTCCGGTTCCGTCTTGCTTTGCGCCATCTGGCGTTCTTTTCTCCGATTCGGCTCCTGCGCCCGGGGAGCGAGCACCTCATGCTGCCGCGTCTGTGCGCTAACCGTGCCTTCTTTCACATGGAATCGGTTGCCGCACACGGTTCGGTGATCTACCCGCCCTGTCCTCACGTTACTCGCCACAGTTCCATTGCAAAATGGACACGCATAGACTAAGTTCTTGGCGGCAACGTGTCCGTCTTTGACACGAAACAACTTCCCGCACACACGGCGGTGATCTACTTGGCCTGTGCGCACAGTGCTGGTCACAGACACCTCACAAAACGGACACGCATATTGGAACGTTTCCGCGGCGGCCGTCTGTCCAGCCAACTTTGCCGGCGGTGCGTTTGTCGTCTGCGCGACGGTCGGGGTGGCTTGCGTCGCTTGTTGCGGCTTTGCCTGCGACTTTCGTTGTGGCGGAGGCGCTGTCCTGGCTTGGCTGCTCACCGACACGTCTTCTGCACACTTCGCTGCAGGCTCTGCCTGTGCTACTTGCATTGTCTGAGTGCGGGGCTGGGTCTTGGTGGGCGTCGGCTGTGCGCGCTTGTCTTGTCGCGGTTCCATGCGGCGTTTGCGCGACGGCATGCTGTCTGTGGAGAGCCTTTGTGCCTCCGGTTCCGTCTTGCTTTGAGCCGTCTGGCTTTCTTTGCTCCGGTTCGGCTCCTGCGCCCGGGGAAAGAGCACCTCATCCTCGGCTTGCTTCTGTCGCACATGGTCAGCGATCTCTTCCCGTACAAGACCTATGACTTGCTGTCTCTTTTCTTCGGCTACTTTCGTCCGCGTCGCAGCCAGGCGCCGTATGGCTCTATGAGCGACACTTCGTGGCCACCGCTGCCCGTGGCAGCTGTCGACCGGTGCATCCGCCCGGGCAGGCCGTCCTCTGCACCGCGCACGTCCGTCGTTTGCGCGCTGCGCTGCTGCGCGCTGGGCCGTGCTGAGGACGCAAGCGTTGCAACGCTGCGTTCCGTTTTGCGGCGCAGTGCGCTGCCTGGACCAGGCGCTGAAGTCATTGCACGCCTTACGTTCCGCGCACACGGCGCAGCGCCATGCACCCTTCACTTTCATGGCGCAGTCCCTGCAGACACGTCGGTGTGCATGGCGCCCTGTCCACGCGGCCGCCCCGAATGCACTTTCCGGCTTGGCCGTACCGCACTTGTAGCACCGCTTCTGTGCCTCGCACGTCTGGCACACGCGGTAGAACGTGCATGCGGGGCGCGTGTACATTCTAGCAAAGGCGTCTTCGTGCTTCCATGCCTTGCAACTGTTGCATTGCCAGGGCGTGTTGTTGGCCGCGTAGTTGCGCACGCATTCTCTGCACACACGTGCGTCCGCGTCCCGTTTCCATTGCCCGGCGCTGTACCCGCTTCTGGGTTTGCTTTCGCGGCACTCGCTACACACTTCCTCCTCGCGGTGCCGCATGCGCAACGTTGCCCAGTCAATGCTCTCTCCGCGCCAGGCCTGCAACAGCAAAGCTCTCCCTACGCTGCGTCCTTTCTGATAGGGTGCAGCATCGAATGGTCTGTATATGTGTAACCCACGCCTATCTTTCACTCGCGTCACAGCGATGTATGCGGTCAGCGGGTCTCCGCCTTCGCCGATCTGCATGTCCGTGACTGCCCCTTCTGCGTAAGTTTGGCCCTGCGCTGCGTGCGCCGTGGTGGCAAACCCGGGCGCCAACGGAAATTGCCGTCGCACCACCCGCAGCATGGGCCGCTTTCGGCCTTTGTCCAGATGCCACGCTTGCCGTTGGAGCGTCACCGGAAACACGTTGTCCGTGGCCAGCCCCTGCGCTCGCCACTCTGACTTGGTCTGGAACCGGACAAAGACACAACTTGGGAGCTCATTCCAAATCTGTGTCGTACTCCCTGCTGCGGCGCCCGCTGCTTCATGCCAGCTCCATCCAACAACTGTGCCCGGACATCCCTTCAGTATGCCTCTGCGGCGATCCAAGTGATCGGTTGCCGTGACCGGCATGCCGATGCACAAGGGCAAAACCCCGTACAGCCCGCCACAGTCCTGATCGTGACGTTGCAGCCATGTCAACTTGTCTTTGCCCAAGTCCGGTTTTTCTCGCAACGCCCGGCTGGAAATTGTGTCTTTTGCAATGGCATATTTGACCGCCTGCCCGTGCTGGCGTGCCCAGTTTAGCGCCCGCAGTTTGTTGACGTGGTACTTCACCGCATTCGTCGCAAACACAGCCTTTGCTTGCTCTAGCTTCCTTTGCTCATCACCCCTCATGTTTCCTTCCAACACTCGCTTTTTCGAGGCGCGTTCGTGCTGGCATTGCTTGCACTCGAGTCTGCGAATGCGAGCAGGGACGACTTTCCTCTGCAGCAGTTGCTGGCACGCTGCGTTTTCGCAGTCCAATTTTTCGCCAGACCAACTTCCCGGGACACCTGTGTCGTGCCCATGGAGGAAGGCGTGATTGTCGGCGCTCAAGGCACCTTCCCGAATCTGCTGCTGCAGCGTCTGCAGCCATGTGTCTCGCGTGCGCTCACATTGCTCGAGTTCTGTGATGCCGTGGATGATGCTGTTCTCCGTCTGCGAGCCCCACACAAGCTTTTGCCCATGCACGGTGTGGGCGACTTTTTTGCTGCTCCCCTTGGTCAGCATTTCCCAAGGCACTTCCCCCAAAAAGGTTCCGCGTGGTGGTGGCAATTGCCATAAATCACCTGCCACTAGTACGTTCAACCCTCCGAAGGGCTGCGCGTGTGCGCTGCCCGGGGCGTACTTGCTCTGCGCTAGATCGCGCACTAGCTCTCGGCATCGTAAATCCATTCTTGCCAGCAGCTCAGCGCTTACCATGCTTATTTCATCAATGATCAGCCACCGCCATTGCACGGCCTTCGCACTGAGGTCGAGGAATTTCCTTCCGCTGATCCTGTCGTCGGACGCGCCTTGCCAATTTAAGCCCATCGCGTGATGAATGGTATCGCCGTCCAGTTCCTTGGCCATCACCGCCTGCAGCGTGACAACGCGGTATTGCGAGCCATGCGTCCACCCGGCGATACCCTCAAAGAGCTCACGACGGATCAATTTCAACGTGTGCGACTTACCCGTGCCGGGACCCCCGTGCACCACCCAACGCAGTGGTTGCGGCCTGGCACCGGCTTCTGCCAGCAGCTCTGCGCGGACCTGTTGCGCAACGCGCTGACACAGTTCGGCCTGTTTGCGGTTGCATGGGCCGTCGGCAACCGCGCTGCTCCATCGGTCGATTGCCGCCAGGGTGTCCTGCAACATGGCAGGAACACGCACTCACCAGGAACGTCAAGTTGCTTATGAATGTCTTGGTGATAATATCATGTGTGGGTTTGACGAGGGCTACTTGTGCCAAAAGGCTACCACAAAAAGGGAACGGTCTAACGCATACACGCCCACATGCGTCATCATGCGTCAGAATAGGGTCCCCCAAGCCTTATATGGGTATATAGAAATAGGTGCATAATTACTTCACTGATATATATACACCTTGTTCAGACTAGATGGCTATATCCGGAAACGAATCGATGGCACCAGAAAGTGCCAAAAGCGCACGCGGCAAACCGTGGAAAACAAGATATATACCTATGCATCCTCAAGCATAATAGATGGCATTCCACCCATTCACAGAGTAGACTTGCGCCATCTTCTGCAAAGAACACTGATATAAGTCGTTGATTTTTGTAGACAACCTCTCTGTTAAATTCCAACTGTTTTTCATGTTCCTCTCTTTGAACTGTCTTTCTCTCTCCTTCTTTCATATTCTATCTCTCTCTCTCTCTCTCTCTCCTTCTCTTCCTTTCTCCTTTGCTATCCATTCCTTAATGTCTCCTTTCCCTCTCCTTGGATGCCTTTCTCTTCTTTCCTTTCCTTCATTCACTTCGCCTTTCTCTATCCTTCCCTTGCCTTTCCCTTCACCTTTCCCTTTCCTTGCACTTGCACTTGAAACAGTAACAGAACGCTGCACGATAATAGCCCCGTAGATGGCACAACACTTGTGTGAAACATGATTAGGATAGTTGAGCCAATAGATACTGCCAAGTAGATGGCGCAGCTTGCTGCTTTCAGGGCCAAAAATTTTATGGCGTTCTTTCACGAAACGGATTGTAAAAGTAGATGGCGCCAAACCAATCCCCGAGTAGTACTTTCCCATTCCTTGTCACGATTTTTGCCTAGGATGGCTTGCGCCGTCTGCATCTGGGTTTTTTTGTTCCAGAGGCGTTTTCCCCTACACAATACATGCCTCATTACAAAAAACCTGAGCCAAGTTTTCTGACTACAGAGTCTATATATAAGAACAATTGAATTGATCTATTGCGTTGCGCATAGGCGGAATTCTGTCCTGTTTTCCAGCTTCGCGGCTGAAACGTGGAATGCTCACTGCAACTGTCTGCACCTGCTACACTCCTCTTGAAAAGGGGTCGGCGGCACCCGGGCGAAGCCCTTACAATAATTTTAAGCAAGGCGCTGAAATTGATGAACACTAGCACCAATAGCAGGATTGGTTCACTCTCCCAGTGCTGGAAAAAATGCCCTCAACATTGGTTCTATCAGAAGCAAACTCAGGCCCCAATATGGCATGATTGGCATGCACATTTGTACAAGCACCCAGTACGCATCTATGCAAGGACAGCGTCCACCTAAACCCATCACAATGAAGGTCCTCTTTGAACGATGTGAGTGGTACTGTAAACAAACCTGGGAGCACCCAACATGCACTGACTATCATGCCGACAGATGGTGGAAAAAACATCACACTTTATGACTTTTCGAGGAAAAAGACGCCCCTGCACGGTGTATGAGGACCACTACAAAGACCCTTCGACCATTGTAGTGGGAGTTTCCAAGGGTGGGTGACATAACATCGCGTACCTGACTCGATGAATTACAATGCTCGACCAAGACCTGCGTGCGAACAAGGGCCGCATTATTTGGCAAACATCACCTCGCATGTATACACGTATCACGCCTCTGGCAATGAAATGTCTGCATTGTGCGCGCCAAACATGGTATCTTTGGATGTCCGGCATGTCCCAAATGTGTGAGTTACACTGAGCCCCAAACAGTGCAGACTAGAACTAGACGACCATAGTCCATAGTTGCTACTGCATATATCGGGATGCTTAACAGCAAGTCGGAGTGTTTCTCGGGGAACGCATTGTAGGTGGTAGAGCTGAATTTCTGTGGAGTTGTAAGGGAGTGCCGGCATCTGAGCAATCCTCGGCAACCAAATTAGCAGTAGCACTCCTGAGGACAGTTGAAATGACACAGCGGGCTCTATCATGCTCTATCCACGAGATACCCAGATCAGCCTGGACTGGAGCAGGGTCAGGGGCTGGCCATTTCATACCGTGGAAGTTCTGGGGGCGAGTGCCAGGTGTCAGCCTAGGGACGGAAAATTGCCCTTGCCAGCACAGTAGAGGTTGTGGTGCCATCACCGGCAACATCGTTGGTCTTTGATGCAACCTCTCCAAGGAATAATCTGCCACCAAGAAAACAGCTCGTTTGGATAGCATTGCAGTCGAGGCCTGCTTGATCAGGGCAGCACCTAGATTGTCCTGCCTCAGTAGCGCACAAAGTCGCAGAGCTGGGCTTTGGCAACAGCGGCCAGACTCAAAGTAAACAACGCATAGTAAAGACAGTGAAAACACATACATGCGGCATGCGCACTTGTTCTTGAACTCAATGGCTTTGGCCACTGTGACGCCGTCCTGCATGAAGGCAGAAATCGTCCGCACTGTGAAGTTTGGAGAACAGTTTCGTTGTTTCTTAATGCGAGGACGCTTCTGCATCCACTACTGACAGCTTTTTCCTTTCTGGGGACTCTCCCGCTCTCAGGCCGAAGTTTCCTTGCCGAACCCGAGCCCCTCTGCATGTGCTTAAATTCGAAAAGGATACTTTTTGGTGTTCACGACAAGTTTCAAACCTTGTTACAAGTGACCTCCTCACTTCCCGGCGCATCCATGTCACCAGGAATATCATAATTATCACACCTCCTAGAGCATAGCCAGAAGCCAACTGGCTGAGCCAAAACAGTCATGCGAGCTTAGTTTCCCTGAAAATTCTACGGGTCTAATTCTAATCAATCACGTGCGGGGTTCTTCAAGAAGCTCCCCCCACCCAAGGTCTAGCCTGCGTCTGATTGCCGCTTATTCACTACCATTTGAGCTACTTGCTTAAGCTCTCTTACTACAGCCTACCCACCCACCCAAAGCCTCAAAAAGGGAAGTTCTTTGGGCTCCTTTGTGACCTTTGGTGCTCCATAGCTTTGCTCAATCACCACATTTCGGCCCTTCGGCCCGAGAGTCACAGCAACAGCATCTGCCAAGCGATCAGCACCTCCACGCGACAGAAGAGATACATGAAAGAAAGAATCTCCTTCAAAGAGACCTTAATCTATGTTTATTATATCTATCTATCTATCTATCTAGATATGTTAACATGCTGTATATTTGGTCTCTTGGCTGTTTGAGCTTTTCTTGGCTATTCCCCTGTGCTTTGCATATTTGCTAGTCTGGTTCTCAGAGCGGGTCTACCACAAGACCCTGTTCAAGGTGCAACTCTCGCTTCTCCACCTTTCAACATAGCAGCGCGAGCCCCAGCGCCGTGGCCTACAAGCGGCCACCAGCAACACCATTGGATAAATGCACAAGTCCTGTAGAATCAACTGATTGAAGGATGCTCAAGGGGCCCCTCTTGGTTTGAAAGGGTTCGGAGAAGCTCCAAGATTCTTTGGAATCTTAGTTCCGTGCGAATATCTTTCGCCGCAAAATGGCGCAGGCCCAGGGCACGGATTGACCTTAAGCGGTTCCGCGTTCCAAAACTTGAGTGCGGGCTGCGGCCTTCCTAGCTGGTTGCTTCCACCACCAGGACATATATAATAAGCATGTGAACCCGTATCTCTATGCATCTCTAGACTCTATGCATACAGTGCACACATGTCTAAACTCATCTCATGACGGCTGGCAAGGCAACAGGAGGCATCAGTGGATGCAAGGCAAAGAACTTGAGGTCAGATGGAGGGAATCACCTTCATTGCCAGGTTGCACGTCTTGGGCTCAGTTTTGGAGTGTTAGAATCTCATGGCACACGGGATCTTCACACTAAAGGCACCAAGCAATGTGTGGATGTGGTGGGGGTTGTCGGAAAACATCTCTCTTGGGGATCCAGGATCCATGAAAAAGTCTGTCTTGTGCTCCAGTTCAACTAGAGGTTGCGTTTGCAGTTCCACGTTCGAAGTCAGTGATGTGATGCTCTTCATGCGTTCGTCTCGTATGCGGAGTATAACGAGGCCAGTGCAGAGTCTTTGGCCGCAGTGTGGAGAACATATTTAGCAGCGGCTGACCTGAGTTGACCAGCGGCAGCCCTGTGCCGTAATTGAGCGCAACAATGGCTTGGCATCCTGCTGCACACACCGCCACGGGATCAAAACTTAAGCCAACAGCAACGGGTGTCAAAACACAATCATGCAAAGGAATAGCACCAAAGCAAACACTTTCCAAATCCGCAAATCAAAGAGCCCTGGCCGCCATGAATGGTAATTCTGCTTACAAAGTCGCCAACCAGGTCCTTTCACCGTGTCTTGTTGGGCTCAAGCTTGGAGCTGGCCTCATGACATTGGCCAGGGCGCACAGTCAATGCAAAGCCCAATTGGCTTGGGCAACTTTGCTTAGCAGTCAACAGCCTGTTCTTTCCTCCGGGCAGGCGTCATGGTGATGTAGGCCTACGGAAACCAATACTGGTGAACCCCTCGCAACTTTTCACTTGCCGTGGTTCTCTTGGCTGCGAGTAATACAGGACGGCACACACATGTGTGATGTCAATATACCATGCATTGCGGAAGTTTGGCAGCAGCACGTCAATAACTCCATGGTTGCCTCCAACATGAATATGTGTGTATACCTATATTGAACAATAACCCAAATCACGACAATGTATTCCAAACCTTCAACTCACAGATTATGCAAGCATGGATTCAACCTGTCTAGCTGTCTAGCTGCCGTGACACACAAAAGTACTCAAAATGCCGTTCAGTGGCAAAACCCATCACCCATCAGCCCATTCATTACAACTGCCATGCCAACACAACCGCAAACCTATGCAAAGCAGGCTGGTCCGAAATGCTGCTGATGCTGCTGCTGGAGCTTGCACAAGTTGGCGCCACGCATGTTTTCAGCCAGACAGGGAAACGAGTTTGCCACCCCCTGGTCGCACAAACAGTTCCACCTTATCTTTTGTAATATACTAGATTGTGTGTTAAAGCCACAAATATATATATATATATGTGTGTGTGTGCGTGTGTCTTTACTACCTGAGAAAGGAGAGGACGAAAGCCAGCGAGAGACCAATATGGTAGTGCAAGACTGCGAGGAAAAAATAGCGGAGCACTTATTGTTGAATGCCTGTAGCTTTCGTGGAGCTTGTATCAACGTGGAGTAGATCAAGATCGGAGCACAGCATGAAGTGTTGAATGTTTTAGGTTTTCTCGATTTTCCTGGCGCGGTGCTCTCTGGAGCGTCCCTGTTTGGTGGTCTACTTGAGAATCCGTGTAAAAATAAACGTTAGTGAAGACCAGGAGAAGGATGCCCGAAAGGTGGTTTTTGGTTGTTTTGAAATTGTGTTTCGGGCATCGTGCATCAACGCGAAGCCCTATAAAGAGCAGGGCTGGGAGAAAAAAGTAAAAGGAGAGCACTCATTCTTGAATGGTTGTAGTTTTCGTGGAACTGGTATCACTGCGACGTAGATGAAGATCGGAGCACACCACGAAGTGTTGAATGTTTTGAGTATTCTTGATTTGCTTGGTGCGGCACCTTCTGGAGCGTCCCTTGTTGGTGTTCTATTAGAGAATCCGTGCAAAAATAAACGTCAGTAAACACCAGGAGAATGATGCCCGAAATGGTTTTTGTGGTTGTGTTGAAATGTGTTTCGGGTATCGTGCATCAATGCGAAGCCCTATAGAGAGCAGGGCTGGGAGGGAAAAGTAGCAGAGCACCTATAGTTGAAAGCTTGTAGTTTCGTGGAGCTGGTATCACTGCGACTGAGATCAAGATCGGAGCACAGCATGAAGTGTTGAACAGTTGCAGCTTTCTTGCGGCACTCTTATCCCCAAGCCTCTACCTCGCCCAACTGGACATGCTCACATCGTTCGCACCCAGAGCGTTCACTCTTCGTTGCTTGGTCCTTCTTGGTATGATCAGAGCTACACAGTCCCTATAGAAAAATTGTCTCCCAGCCCCCTTCATGATGCTAATGATGCACTACTCGGCGTCCATTGCATCACTCGCATCACCAGACCCCCGTTTTCACTGCTTTTCTGACCCTCGCTTTGGAGCGCTCTCCCCCAGCAAGCTCCGGGTTCACCCTTTCAAATGGCCTCCCCCCCCACACCCCCTTAACTCACTTCGTTCGCGGCTGGCTTTCGTAACATAACATATACATATATATATATACATGTCAAAAAGGCTACCGATGTTTAGAGTCATCAACTCGGAAGGAGACCTGCCCTTTCACAAAAGGGAACTGTGTGCAGAAACTGAGACATGTCAAGGGAAGAAGGTAGTCCAGTTGATCCAAACATCCCTGGATTTAGTGACGGGGCAGTTGGCCGACATACCAGATACATTATGTCAACAGCATCCGGTGGCACAAAACACGGGAATTGTGTTGCGACACCTGCACCCAAAAGTCGAGTCTAACTGCTGAAGCATCCTGGCAACCCAGAGCCGCCAGGTTGGAGGGCAACTGCTCCGAAGATCTAGCCAAAAACAGTTCCCTAAGGTCCCTGGACAGCTTTCGCGAACCTGACTAGGTTCACCCTGTGGGCAGACGGGATCTTTTGACAGCCCGCTGTACCTGCTTATCAAAGCTACACACATGTTCAACCACGACAAGGTGGACAGCCATCCTCAAGTGACAGCCGTCCTGAAGTGAACTAACCAGCCAGGAAACAAGCAAGCAAACCAACAACAAAACAAAAACGGACCCTTTCAAAAGTGAACGCGAAAATAGATCCTTTAAGGTTCACCAAATCAATTGCACTGATCAGGGTCAAACCATGGCGAGCCTTACCCATGTCGGTGAGAGGACGATCAAGAACGGCTTCATTGAAGGCAAAAACTGGAGTGCGGGCAGTGATGTGCTTTATGTAGGCCTTGAGTCAAACCGAGCGAAGTATGTAAGTAAGTCATGCCTCCAACCTGATAGCGATGGCCTCCAACCTACTAGCGATGGCCTCCAACCTAAAGAACTCTTCACATCACATCTTGGACCCACTTTGGCACTATGGGGAAGACAATAAAGTTTATGAGGTCTCCCATGGGACTTTGCCGAGATTTGAAGTGAGCTTTGTCAAGGCCCTGAGTCTGCAACCGGCTCATCCGGGACAGTAGGGGTAACCTGAGCACAATGTCCATCACAGTCTCCGCATGTTTCAGTGCGGCTCAGCAGGGGTCAGAAGTGTGTGAGCAGCACGCTGCAGTTATTTGTCTTTTGGTGCAAGTTCTTTGCGGGCCTTCTTCTTGACAACTTGCGCTGTGTTTGCTCGCTCTCGCTCTGCCATGATTTCCGAGTACCTACACAGTTGAGATTGTTCAAACTAGGTTAGCACAGCGTGGATCGACGCTACTAGGAGCAAAGGGCATCGCTACTAGGAACAAGGGCCTTACTACTAGGAACAAGAAGCTAGTAGAAACAAGAAGTTACTATATAGTAACAAAGGGCATCGCTACTAGGGGCAAGGACGCTACTAGGGGCTCCTGGCCTTACTACTAGGAACAAGAAGCTAGTAGAATCATGACATCGCCTTCGGTACATCGGGCCCAGGTACCACTCAAACTGTGGCAGGCCTGACGTTGTCGACGGCACTGAATGTTCTCAAGCACTGAACGTCTGAGTTCAAAACGCAAACGGCATGCGGGCACTCTGGTCGTTGAAAATTTTCCTGAAAAGAATGCATCTGTGGTTTGACAAGAACGTAAATAACACTTTCAACCGCATCGTGTCCGGAGTCGGGCAACCGCCCGCTGCCACCAGCCTTGGTTGCCCAAGGCATTGTCAACTTGGCTCTCTGCAGATGAGAAGCCTATACTATACATTGCAAATGATCTCATGATTTACTCATCATCTCACAGCCAGATTTAGAAGGCCCCAGAAGGGTATGATAGGTATGATCATGGATCAACAGTTCTCCCAGGCGTTCACGCTGCCAAGTCCCTGGCTGAAGGCACTACGGGCGTGATGGAAGCCATATTCTCACTTGATCCCTATGCCGTACGCTTTCCCAATTGCCAACATGGCTGCAGTTCCTAGATATGTGGCTGGGTGCAATCACGCAAAAAGTAGGACGAGGTTAAACCTTGCAATTGGATGGAGGGAGGGAAGAACGGACAGACGGACGGACGGACGGATGGATGGGGACGAATGGTTGTTTGTGTTGACCTGTCAGCCTGTCCATCCACCCATCCATCCATCCATCCATCCAGCCGCTCCTCCACTCAGATCACCAACCATGACTTGCATCACCGGCATCCTCAACGCCCACAAAGGCGCCCCAAAAACAGACCGTTTGGCCCACCCTTCAATCCCTCTAAAGTTCCCTTGCGGAAACGTGCGCACCCAAGCCCTCGACCCAGCTGGGGACACCCTAAGCAAGACGCATGCAATTACATGTTCACAAAAGGTGAGCCCCCTTTTCCATCGAAAGCTTGCATGAAGCGCAACCTCGCAAGAGAGAGAGAGAGAGCGCGCAAAAGCAGTTTGGCAATGGCCCCAGAAGAGAATGCACATGAATGCACAATAGTATCACAATAGAAAGAGTTGGGCTTTAGTCGTGCTGAGCATTTCGACAAACCATGCGAAGAGTCGTCTGGTTAATTTGAAAGCCATTGCCGTTTGGAATCTCAAGCCGGCAAGGTCAGTTGATGTTATTTTTCAAATGCATTGCATTTCCGAGAGGAAGGGACAAGGTGAACTAGCTGCGGCAAAGTGCCTTGACTCACTTTGTTCGCAATATGGCAATATGGAACTTCAGCCGGTCTGTCGGCTGGCTTTCTTGAGTGATATTCCATTGTATGGATCTTGCAATGGTTGCACCCAGGCAGTGATCTGACCTCGAAGCCTCTTTGTTTGCAATCGGAAGGTGGGGAAGTGATAGCAAATAACACAGAAAAGGAGAATGGGTCGATCTCCACCTTCGGGAGTCGTTGTCAGCCTTGCTCAACAAATATCCAATCACGACGGAGGCAATTCTACCAAAGCAAACAGCTTATCAACACTGTCAGCACCACTCTGCCAAGCTGGCTGGCTACAAAAGGTGTGCAGGTCTGAGCAGGGAGTCCAGTTGTCTCATCCATTTCGTGATGAGATACTTGAACAGTTCGTAAAGTTGTGCGACTCTGTATGTTCCCACAGTCACCTATATAACTTGATTGAATGCCTCACCACATCCCGAGCATCAACTGCAAGCCATCCATTCACTCACTGGACAAATTGAAATTTGAAGGCCCAAAGTAGGTTTGGTCACATAGTGACATAGTGGAAGCAGATGAGAACCCCTTCGCATCTCAGTGCCTCCTGAAGCCTGAAGTTGGCAAACACGCCCAAAAATTGAAAACCTCTCTACAAGAGCAAGCAATGGGCAGCAAAGCCTCTCCAGCGCAGAATGGGACAAATCACCGGAGCCTTGGACAACAAGGATGCCAAGCACTGTGCACCTTAGTTTTCCACCACTTTTGGGAATGCTACTTACACCAATATAACTATGTTGGTGTGTATTATCACCATACAACTTGGAGAAGCATGTTGCGGTCAGGGTGCACAAACGGTCCTTTTGTTCAAAGTGGTCGAATCTGAGACTCAAAACCACCGCTAAAGGGACTACTCTGTACCTAAAAGCCGTGCCATGTGTCAATTACACTACTGGGTTTTGACCTAGTCAACTATCGCATGGTTGGATGCTTCAACTCTTTGTATCTCTTGAGCAGTTTTCAAGCAAGTGAAATGGTCCACTCCAGATTCATTGGACCTGGCAGGTGGCCCGGCTGGGGAGCAACTTTAGCCTTATGTAGATGATTCAATGACCTGTCAACAAAGCCAAGCAATCAACAAGTGACACTCAACGCCCAGTGACACCGCCACAGGGGCTTTCTTTGGTTGTCAATGAGTTGGTCGCTGTGGGCTCAATTTGGAAAGAGGAAAGCTCTCGCCTCTATGCCCTCTATGCCCTCTATGCGAAGCGTGATCGTAATGGCCTCCAACCCAATAGCGATGGCCTCCACCTAGTGGCTTCTTGTTACTAGTTGTAGTAATGGCCTCCACCCACATGCAAACCAAACAGCCACAGCCTCACCCTCGCACTCTCACCCACATCAGAATGTATCTTATCGCTGCCGTGTTACTGCCCCGGTCTCGACAAGTGCCTTTGAGGTCCAATCACGTTGCCTCCGTTTATTTCTTCCCCCGAAACCAAAGAATTGTTCAATTGGTCTCAACGCGGACTTTTGGAATGCTTCACGAACTGAAGCTACTTATGCCACAAATGCCACAGCAAGTGCGCTCAAGAGTCTGAAAACTGCAGCACGCTCCTTGGCAGAAACTTATACAAAATATGTGGCCACCTTGTAGCCATGTCAAGCTTCAGAAACACGTTTGATCTCCTCTGCCATGCTAACCAACCATGCATCGGCATGTGGCCGACTGACCAATTGGAATCCAATGGGAACCTTGCACAGCTTATGGCCGGATCGCTTCTCTGTCTGTCTGGAGCTTGGACTGTCCATAGCCACTATTGGCTGCACACCGTCCCCAGAACTAGAATAACAAGACACGTGCAAGTTAGGAAGCTCAATCGATCCACAAGGCACGCTCACAGAAGGTAACTGAGCTAGAATGCTGAAGTGTGGCCAGTAAAAAAAGTCAGCATAAGATCGTGGTTCAGCTGGCTTCCCAACTGAATCGTTAGTCCACACAAACCGTTCAGGTGTGTACGCATCCGTGCCCACAACCTCATTCCGAAGAAAAGGCAGGGTCGGGCTTATTGGCATAAGCACGGCATCAACACCATTTGCATCAAAAAATGCATTCCACACTGTGCGGCACCACTGCCTGCGAATCATCACATCAGGGTGGAAAGCAGTTTCTTTGTTTGCCAAAATTTGGCGGTAGAGACTGTAGCTGATGTCTGCAAAGTCTTCAGGAAATGCCGCTCGCAAGGGTACCACAACAGACGAAGTATTACTCCCACTATACTGTTTGAGCTTCTCCTGCAGGCTGTGGAAGGAAGCGCGCACAGCATCACTGAGAGCTGGCTCCAGTGGCTCTGGCCGATTTGGGCACATTTCTGAAAGGAAGGTCAATCGAAATTGCTTGGGCGGCGGTGAGGTTGGACTCCTTTGCTTTTCTGAAACTTCTGAAACTATCCCAGTCTGCCGTTCAAGGACCGAATTCAGGAGCGCCAAGTCTTCTGCAAACTTGCAAATAGGGCCTATGACCTTGAAAACATGTGGGTCTATGAGATTTGCACTACTGAGGTCCATCATTGGGGCACAAAGAGTCTTGAGCCCATCACTTGCTCCTTGCTTATTTTTTTCCAAGCCAGTTGTGCAAGGGTTCATTCCAAAAGCTTGTTGGCACTCGTCCGTATGTTCCTTGCATTCCGAAAACTCCACAGAATGCCGCAGGAATGCGTATCGACCCAGCCACATCACCCCCAAGCTCTACGGGAGTGTGTCCACAAGCGACTGCCACACACGATCCACCGGAAGAGCCTCCACAGGTCCTTTGGCAGTCATGCGGGTTTGCTGTTGGTCCGAAGGTATTGTTGAAGGTCTGCCAATCTTTGCAGCGCGCAGGCACATTAGTCTTGCCAAAAATAATGGCACCTTCATCAATAAGCCGCTGAACAGCTGCACAGCTGGCTGTCGGTACATCTTCCTCTTGACCATCGACTTGGAGACCACGGATCCCTTCCACAGTTAGTTCCTCTTTCACGGTCATTGGAAGACCATGCAAGCGGCCCCACAATTGGGACCCTGTGCTCTTAATCCAGCATTGGTCTGCTGCAGCAGCCCGGGACCGAGCGGCTGCGTAGTGTTTTACAACCACCGCATTGATGTGCGATTCAGATTCGACCTTTGCGATAAATGCTTCCAGCAATTCGGAACTTCTAAGTTTGCCCTCCCGAATGAGTTGGCAAAGCTTTGTGGCGGATGTGGTGTAGACCCACGGTGGGACGTCCATGGCAAGCGATGCACATCAAGCTTGACACTTGCGGTTCTGTAACGGGCCTATCAAGGTCCGAAGAATCCTACGACTCGTTTCAGAATTCTGAGTTCATCGGATCAGATTTGGACAAACAAGAGCACTTTAGAAAGAGAAAAAGTGCGCCTTTCCAAGAACATGTACAGTAAAAGGGGCGCCTATCCAAAAACCACAGCCAGTTCTGCAGAAAGCTCGCCTGTCAGGACAAACAGGCCTTCCTACACCCTCCAAAACAACACGCAGTTCATTGTTACAAACATGAAGTTTCATTAGAATGTTTCTTCCAACAAATTTCAGCTACGGATCGGTGAGGTTAGACATGTTGCAAGTCCAGTGGGTGCTAGTGTAAGCCGCCAAACGCTACAAGGCACAGCTGGATCTAATTGTGAGGTTCACTTAGTGGCCATGATGCAAGTTGCCTTTGTTCACCTTTATTTCATGCCTTCTCGCTCAGTAGCCGGAAGCAAACAAGAGACACTGGATAAACCCTAAAAGCGAGATTGGACAATGAAAAAAGCGTAAAGGCACTTTAATATTTAAGGAGTCCCTATAAAACAGAACAGGTGACCACAGTAGTGCGCATTTTGCGCATTGTCTGCCTATTTATATATGTTGTACCGCTATCTGGTACTACTATCTCATTGTTGTGCTAATGTAGTTTTGGTTGTTTTCCGTTTGTTGGTAGAAAAATGTTGTATCAACATATTAATGAACTATATGTGCAAATTGATCATTCATAGGCTATGACAAAAGCAAAAGAGAAACTGAAAACATGAACATGTATATATATATATGCATATGTGCATGCATATGTAGATGTATATGTGCGTGATGTTATTAACTATACAATAACTGATGTTAGCTTTTGTTTTTCCCGAGAGCGCCTGCGAAGGGTTCTTCGTAAAAAGACATCTGCAGAACTACGTCTCATCTACATCTTCACATCTTCACCTCTGCACATCCACATTCTCACCTATATCTCTGCTCATCTTCACATCTACATTCACAACTGCACATCTACATCTCTGCACATCTTCACATCCTCACATCGACATCTCTGCTCATCTTCATCTTCACACATCTACATCTCTGCTCATGTTCACATCTGCACATCTCTGCTCATCTTCACATCCTCACATCTACATCTCACATCTTTACCTCTCATCTACATCTCACATCTTCACCTCTCGCTCTTCTTAACTTTCTCTCTTAAGGCCGGGGGCAGTGCCGCCGGACCGCCACGAAACGCAACCCTCTGCGGAGATCGTGCGTGTCGGATGAGCGAAATGCAGGCGAGAGTGCGATTTGGTTTTCTCCGGCGCAACCTTCTGCGGAGATCGTGCGCGTCGAGGGCGCGAAATGCAGGCGAGAGTGCGATTTGTCCCGGTCGCGGGCAACCCTCTGCGGAGATCGCGCGTGTCGAGGGCGCGAGGTGCAGGCGAGAGTGCGATTTGTCCCGCAACCCTCTGCGGAGATCGTGCTTGTCGAATGCGCGAAATGCAGGCGAGAGTGCGAGGTGGTTGTGTCCGGCACAAACCTCTGCGGAGATCGCGCGTGTCGAGGGCGCGAAATGCAGGCGAGAGTGCGATTTGTCCGGTCCGGAGCAACCCCCTGCGGAGATCGTGCGTGTCGAGGGCGCGAAATGCAGGCGAGAGTGCGATTTGTCCCGGTCCGGAGCAACCCTCTGCGGAGATCGCGCGTGTCGAGGGTGCGAAATGCAGGCGAGAGTGCGATTTGGTTGCGTCCGGCGCAACCCTCTGCGGAGATCGTGCGTGTCGAGGGTGCGAAACGCAGGCGAGAGTGCGAGTTGGTTGTGTCCGGCGCAACCCTCTGCGGAGATCGTGCGTGTCGAGTGCGCTTTACTCCGGAACACCCACACATCTGCACATATGATTTTTTCTCTCTATTTGGGCCTCCAAAAGGCAACCAGGTCTCCAAACAAAAGAGAGTCAGAGACCAATGGCAGACTGCAATGGATGAGAGTCAGTTGTCCACTGCTGCAATGACTGACAATACTTGAGAGATCGATGAAAATGTTGTGACATCGATGACAAGGTTACTTCGATGACAATGTTGCGACATCGATGACAATGTTGTGACACCGGTGACAATGTTGTGAAATGCAGCTGGGTGCACACTATACTGAGTCTGGCTGGACAGCTGCATTGGACTGCATGTTTCCTCGCCCTTTTAGATCCCTTTATCCGTTAGTCACGCATCATCCACTTTGCCTCTCTACCTTAACCTGTTATTAACAATCGTTCGCGCACCGAAATGTTTAACAAACGGTTGCCTAACTTGCATTAATGTGTATTGTTTTCTTGTAGGTTGTGTGTGTATGGATTCAACGGCAAAAAATATTTTTTGAGGGGTGGTGTGTGCACAGTGCTCCAAACCTTTGAACGCAACATGCAAGTTGTGACTCACTGATTTTCTCCATCGAGCGAAAGTCTGACTGTTAGTCAACCTCGGCAACGTGAGCGTCTTCCTCACGTGGCTCTTCTTCCTCGCCTTCATTTGGTTCGGCTTCGCCGAACTCACCTTCAGGCACAGCTGTTGCTGCAGGATCCGGTCCAGCATCAGCCAACAGAGCTCTCTTCATCGTTTCCTCGATAGGAAATCGAAAATATACAGGGGTGTGTTTGTTGAGGTCTTGAGGTTTTGTGTATTGAGGCTTGTCTATTGAGGCAGGTGGCAACCATAGCCAACACCTCTTGTTTGGACTTTTTCTTTTCGATCTCCACCCTCGCCGCTTCCTCAAATAAACGCAATGAAAATGCACTGAACTAACAAAAACATCTCAAAAAATCAGAGATGCGTGGATCTGCAATTTCTGCCAGCTGGTCATCGCTGATTCCATCGGTTGGTTTGACCTTTGAATCATTTATCAGTACAAATCATGAACTAAGACTAGCAATGGTGCTAAATCTCAACAAGACCTAGAACATGCCTAAGCTTCGAACTGTCAGCATTTCTCTCTTGTTCAGCTTGATTCCCCACATGCCCTTTTTGTGATACAGGTACTTGTACGCACGCTCGGATGTGGACAGTCTGTCAGCAGCTGGCCTTTTCATCGGGGGGGTGTTGGTTCGTCTGGGCTCTCATCTTTTGGACCTGCGGTTTCGAGTGCTGCAGCGGGGCGCTTCATACTCACAGTGACACCCTCAGTGGCTATGGTTTCTTCCGCGGCTGCGGGGCGCTTCATACTCTGCTTTGGCTTTGGCGATAGTGCTTTTGGTTTTGGTTTCGGGCTCCCCTTGGCTTTCGACTTTGGAGCTGGGCTTAGTTTTGGTATTGGTTTCACGGGTTCTCCGACAGCGTCATCGTCTGACAACTTATCAACACAAGGCAGCTCCATCAAAATGCGCAAGACAAAATGTGACTTGGCTTGAACCGCTGAGATGACAAATCAAGACCTGAAACGGACAGTGGGTCTTGAGAAAATCAAAAATCTTCGCCACACAAAGCATATAAATGCAGTAGCTCATTTGCGCAGGCTGCCTTTCGCGAGCTGCCAAATGAATCCGCGAAGAAACTTATTCCAACCTGAATATATCAAAATGGATGGAACAGCAGGGCCTAAAGCGCCACTTGACTCTATCATCCAATGCGCACCGCTGTTGCGGCAGGAGTCTCAAGAGCACACGTGAGCCAATATTTTGGCTTGAGTGGTGTCACAATAGCTGGTGATGGGTTCAACTTCACCTGCCACATGTCTGCGTTGAATTAGTCTGCTTTGTTTGCGTTTCCCCTCCCCCACACAAGAAACATTGCAGAAATGAAACAGAAACATAATGCCTCAAAAAGCATTTGCGCCCAGTCGGTGCATGGGATCTTCTTCAAATTTCCAGCCATCGTTGCCCCAAGCATTGTGGCTCTCATGTTCTGACGCTCGACGTCTGGGGATAGTGCCTTTGGTTCAAAGGCATTAATCTTGGTCTTGGGCACAGGCAGGTGCCGGAAAGACATTGGATGTCCAGAAGCCTTGAATGAAGAGAGAACAAAAATGAGTCCAATCACAAAAGAGATTCAATCTTGAACACAACACAATCCTCTCAGCTTTGAAACATCAAGCTTTGGGTTCACATCGTGATCCACCAACGACAGATCAGTAATCCCACTGGTTCGGGTTGTATCGCAGGCTATCTCAGCCAAACTCTTGATGGTCTTTGTGTTGGCTGCAGGGTCTACAAAGACCATGAGGCTCAGATCGGAGGACAGGTGCCAGGGGGTCAGCGTGTCACCGGAAGACTTCGCCACTCCTGCAAACAAATCTATTACATTGAACATCATGAAAAACAAAACTCTTCCCGCCTACTGGGGTTGGACCAAATGAACCAAGGCCATAGCCAAATAGCTCGCAAGCACTCAGGGACTCAGCTGCGTCTCCCCGATTGGCGAGCCAGATTTGGAACTCCTTCGTCAAAACAACCTGGATTTTGTCTGCCATAGTTGCTTTGCAACTCGCAAACGTCCTTAGAATAAACAAATGCTAAACACCATTCAACGTTGTTTGTTCACAAATAAAGATTGACTGAACCAAATGCACAAACTCCAGTGAATCGGCCCTTGCAGCCAATCAGCTCGATCGAAGCTTCAAACTCGGCCATCGACAATGAAGCGAGTGGAGCAGCAACTCGACTCACATTGAGCGGTTGCTCGTTGATAGGGAAATCCGGCCTGCGCCGGGTTCGAGGCGGTGTGGGTTTTGCTGTTGCATCGGTCGTTGACCCGGCAGCTGGAGCCGGTGCTCATTCCGGAGCCAGAAAACTGATCAGTGCAGACTCATTGAACTCTTGGATGGTCTTCTGCAAATCTGCACCGTTGCTACCAATGGATTCAATGACCGCGTCAGGTAACCTCACACTTCACTGCTTTCTGGAAAATCACTTCCTTAAAGCCCTAGCAATAGAATGCACACACACACCTGGTTTTGGACCAAAAAACTTTACTTTGCCATTGGCAATCACAGCAAGTGTGAGATCCGGCACTTTTTCCGGCGATCCAGACTGAGGCCGTGTGGCCGGGCCAGCTTCTGAGCATTTGTCCCACCATTCCTGAGCTGCCAGTGGTTGGCACCACTAGTTGAAATTGCGGTTTCTTGTTGAAACTTGCTGAACTAAGATCTGGTCTGAGTTTATCTTACTGGCCATGAACTTGTGACCAACACTGGAATCTGCATCGTCATCTGTCATGTAAGACACAAAATGCCAGCTGGTGGTTGCTGCAGAACTCAGCTGCTTGTTCTGCAGCTCCCACGCTGCCTTCGGCCATTCCATGTACCTGTAACTTTTGCAGTTGGAAACATATTTGATGATTCAACAGCACTTGCAAAGTTTCTGCAAACCAGAAACCCTTTTGTTGTGTGAGGATCTTGATTGTTTGTTGTAACAAGGAACTTGGAGTGTAGCATCTCCACAACAAACATTGGCACACCCTCTGCAAACCCCACTCCATCCACCAGCATCTCAATGATTTGTTTGGTTGCTTGCACTCCGCGCTGGGCTGCCTCATTTGAATCCAAAAACCGGTTTTGTAACAAAACCTGCAACACAAGCGCCAGTCAGAACAGAATCAATGGTTCCTGTTTGCTTACTTAGCGACACGTTGCGGCGGGTTGGCTGGCTTTTCGTGATCGTCTGAAATCAATTCACTCACCCGAGCTCGGGTCACTGGCCCCAACAACCCAAGCAATGATTTGCACTTGGCCCAACCATGGTTCCTGTGAATCGAAGAAACTGCAAGAATACCTGAGGCGAAAACATGGAATCAACATAAAGTATCAACAAATATCAAAGGGAATAACATAAAGTATCAAAAAACAAATCCATCTAAGGAGATACCGATAATAATAGCTGTGCTGCAAGGTTGAACTAGCTTGCGTTTGTCTCCGCTATGCGCTGAATCGCAAAAGCTGAGGCTGACATCTGTCACATCAAGCCCCCCTTGGGATGCGAACCAAAATGAACAAACCCCAACGCCACCATCACCACAACCACCACCACCACCTTTTCGTTGTGTTGTTAAAGTGTGATTGCTTCACTTTAAGTCAGGGATCCCAAAAAGCTCGTCTTCAACGGTCCGTTTGTGCTTGAGGACCTGCAGCTTGTCGGCGGACGCGTGCACATTGGGGAGTAGCACCAACAAGGCACAGGAGCTGTTCGCGTGGCACAGCGCTTTTGCTGCGTCCAAGCACTCATCCACAGCGATCGGGCCTGAGCGCTGATACTCCATGGTCAGCACAAGACATCAAAGCAAGTCCTCAAAGCAAATCCTCGCAAAAAGATATCCGTGGGCTCTTGCTGAGAGACGGCTTGAGGGCCACAATGACAGGTCCAAGACCAGAAGTGTTGGCCTTGAAACTCCACCATCACGGAGGAAAGCGTTGTATTTTGTTTGAATTGAAAACACCATGCATTGAGGCTTTAAGCCAAAGAGCAAAGCTCCACTTGAGTTGCTCTCAGACTGGAAAGTTAGCAAGTCTGCTTGGAGATCAGCCAGACAATTCAAAGATACAAAGCGATGCTTAGCCGTCATCAGTTTCTCAACTGCAGCCTTCCCCTTGTCATATCGAGTCTGGAGGAACTTGATGTCCATCAAGCCCTGGAGAACTTCAGGAGCAGATCAAACATTATAGTGACGGACAATCACTTAGAACAAATCGGTGAAAAAATAAACAAGAAAATGGAGCTGCTAAACCCTAGACTTAGAACATGCAAAAACCTGACACTTAGAATCAGATCTAAACTGAACTGATTGTTGTAACAGAAGAAACCAACCCATAAAACAATGGTCTGTCCTGAGGATAACATCGCATGGGTGGTCCTGAGCGCCTTTACGTCGCCACCACTTGGAATCGATCTGATCTCGACGAAGGCCTGTGAGATGGAATTGCCCAGTGCAGGGTGAGAAACTTACAAACGGGTCGGTGGGCGTTTAAATTTGCCTGCGTCTTCGAAGCGCTGCAACAGGAACAGGTGAGGGGCACCAGGTCCCGCAATGCCCTTCAAGTGGTTGAAATGAAATCCAAGCTTCAAATATGTGGTCAAGGAAATAGCAAACGGAGCGCGAAAGAGCTGATTTTGATTCCTTCAGTAAAGTGAGGCTTGGGCCAGTCGCGAGTGGAATCTACTATGGTGACCTCCTTGTTTCGCTCGTGAGGGCGGACGCTAGTTGAGGACAGGTACTTTTCCAAGACTTGTCGGAATTGCTCGGGTACGTGTAGTTCTTGATGACGCTCAATCTCAACGGACAAGTTGGCAAAAAAACCCACCTCCATACATCTACAGATCTATATCGCACCTGCACATCCACACTGTCACTCCTTCAAGTCCACTCTCCCTTTCTCTCTTTCTATACATCTTTTCGACAGTGCTGGACAATCACATGTCTCGCTCTCGGGCCAACCGTCGTCTAGTTGTATACTATTTTAATGATATAATGAGGTAGAAGCATATGAGAAACAAGAAAAAAGTGCAGTACCACAGTCCCCAGCTCGGGCCCTTTGCAATCGTTGCTTTCTCTCTCTTAAACCCAGTCTGAGGAGAGGTATGCTCAGTCCATCTGAGCACAACTTTCTGATAAAGCTGAAGGGGTACAGGTTGAGAAGTTGAGACTAAACATAGGCACTTTACGTCAGCGCTGCTGGCAATGTGAGACATAATTGAACAATGCAAGTTAATATCGGCAATCGAGAAGCTACACAAAGTGGCACGGGGAAAGCAGCATGCGCTCACCTTTTTGCGCATCAGTGGACAGCTGCGCCGTCGTCGACGTCTAAGTGCTCATCAAGAAGTGAAAGGTCAGCCAGTTCCGGCTCACTGTGCTCTCCAGGCATCAAGCCAGCTTCCTTCTTAAGGGATGCCAACAAGCTTTCAAATTCCTTGGTTGCGCGACAGTCCAGAACTTCGGGCGCCTGAAGGGAGTTCTGCAAACATGAAGACAACCTGGGGCAGGTGACTGCCTGCAATCAAGCCACCATGTTGGATTGCTCCATCCGAGCAGGTCTGGACAAACTGGCTTGCTGTGATTCGTTTTGCTGCTGCTTCTTGAGCCTCTGCCGCTCTCTCCTCAGGGCAAGTTAGGGTTTGTCCAGCAATCTTTCGTGCGAAGAGAGGAGGCCGAATATATATATATATAGTTTTTGAAGATTGAAGCTTGAACCACTTAGCCTTAAACTTTGAGATTGAAACTATTTGCATCCAGCATCTGTCGCTGTTTCCGTGTCTTCTGTTGCTCCACGTGAGCTGCCTAAGTGCAAACGGAGTTTTATATATATATACTTTGCATCAAACTTACATTGTTGGCAAATCACACAAAAGCGTGATACAGCAACGGATCAAACAGTAGCAGTTCTGAGCATAAAACCTCGGCAAAGCATATACACTATGCCGCATTCATTTGTCTGACTAGCAACTAGTTCTTTCCAACAATGTTTCTGTGTTCTCTGCCTTACACTGCCTTACAACATGAACGCCAGGGTGCATATTCCTGCCTTTCCGCCTCAGACGCCAACGGCTTTTCCACCGCTCTCTTCACTATGTCATCTTTTGCCCAGCGGTCAACTTCCTCCCATGGCAGAGTACCTACTCCTTCTTTCAACAAAGTGCCCTACCAAGGTAAAAAGCAAAGGAAGCATGTAAGGATCGAGCAACTCTGAGAACCCTTAAAAGCCCTTGCACCTTGTAGTGAGGTGACCACTTTTGTATGCCGATGATTGGCATGGCGGGAGCGATTCCATAGATGAGGAAAACCAACTCTGACATGGGCATGTAGCCGGTGGTGTATTTTTTCAGCATGTCACCCTTCAACTTCAGCTTCTGGATGTCGTGTTGCCGATTCCTGAGAACTCCTCAGCGTGCGAAACCACTCGACAACTCCTAGTCCACACAGTTCACGGTGATGCACCATGCCGTCAAGTCTCTGCTGAGATTTTCAAACCACCACTTGAATCGTGTGCGTTGCTCTTCGGGCAGCTTGCTTTTGTCTTCCCTACCAGAAAATGGTTTCAACATGTGCGATCTTTGCAACAAACGCAACAATGCTGGCATGGGCATCCTCAAAATTTGAGACGGGCTGTTTGTTTGCAATTTAAAGGTGATGCGGCGATGGGCCTGCCAACCCCTGAGGAGGAGAGCTGAATCCAAATCCAACCTCTTCCCAGTGAACGGAAAAGAGCCGCCCTTGATTCTGTCACAATGATCCTGAGTTGAAGAAACACACAGCAACACACACAAATCCTGTGCAAATCAAAGCGCGAACTGCTGCCACACATGTCCGCGTACATGTGGATGTGACCCACTAGCAATATATAGCTCCATCGAGGTCCATGCTGTCAAACTACGAGATGCTATTCTATAAGTCAGGATGAAGGAGCAAAGCAGAAGGTATGGCCTTGCATCCGGCCCACCATGATTACTTTGCCGTGCAGGTCTTCAACTGGTCAGGCCGGTGGTGAGGGAATAAGAAAAAAAACTCACCTGGATCAAATTGTGTGGGCAAGGTTACGCTGCTGAATGAAAGGTGTTCCAAGCGGTCCTGTCCCTCGACATGAAAATTGCTCTCGTTGGACAGCATGGTTCGTCCCCCATTTGGGCGTGTCAAATCTTGGCATTTCCGTCATTCAGCCATTATGACAGGCCAAAGCTTGAAGGAGCCAAGCTGTGCATCGTCAGAGCTGCAGGTTGCGGCACACCACGTGACCAAAAGCAGCCGACTCTGGCTGGCAGGCATCATGATGCCATGATGCGACATCTTTCATTGTCTGACTTTTAGTCGCGCATTTATAACCATCAAGTAACCACTTCATCTTAAGTGGATTCATCTTGTTCTGACGACCGTCTTGTCTTGGTAGCATGCTTTGACAGTGGTAGGACTAGGATCCAATAAAGGGACCTGCCCCTCGTGACATGAGCCTCAGCATAAAATGGGAAAGAGCTTTGTATGTACAAGGAGCCTTGCTCTAAAGAAGCCTTGGCAGCCAAATAATAGGCGCCTCATCAAATCCCTTTGGACCATGCTAGAAGTGCACATTAAGAGACCTCCATGATTGTATGACGGCATAACTTGATGATGCATGGCGCCTAGTCCATAAAAGTATTCTCCTAACATCATTATACAGTAATTAGTAATTACAGTAGTTTGTGTAGAGAACGTTATCACTTCAAACTGCATCTGCCTCGCGTTGTCAATCACCATCGTGGCTTGGCTTGAGCAAGTCTACTCCAAGACGCTTTTCTGAACACATGTACTTGCCCAGCTTGGCTTAGACCCAGTAACTACCAATTGTGCTGGGTTGACTCCCTCACGGCATGCCACACCGAAAAAGAACTTGTGAATTCCTTAAACCAAAGTGGCCCAAAGTGAACCTGTGATTGCAAAGTGGCTTTAGCCAGTTGCTTCAGAAAATGCTGTGCTGTCCAAGAAGGACTCCAGTTTGTAGGCATGATTTTTGGAAGAAAGCCAGGAACTATCATAGCGAGCTTAGCGAACTATCTAGGGGCGGATTGGTGAGGAAGTGAGGACAATGAAGGAATAAAGGAAGGCAGTAGCAATCGAGGACAAAGTGGAATTTCCGTCAGGCGAACTCAAAAACCACGTGCAAGTTATCAAGCACTGCCCAGATTGGAACAAATTGAGCTAGGCCTGTTTCTTTCAGCAGCTACATGAACAACGTCATAGAAATAGGCACTGCTAATTAAGCCATAAAACATCCCGGAAAATTCTGGAGCACAGGTTGATGGAGCCTACCCTACCCTACCCTACCTAATGATGGGACATCGGTACACACACACACACAAACACCAAGCTAGCACACACTTTGCTTCTCGACTGATCCTCTGTCAAAATATCTGCATTCAGGTGTCTGTTTCGAGATCCAGTGGAATAGCACGCTCATCGCGTCATCAATCCAAGCATTGACCATCTCTTCATCACAGCGGCAGCTTCGGCTTCGCCCAAAAACTGCCTTGAGTTCAAGAATAAAGGGATAGCGGCCGCTGAGGCGGTTCTACCCTTTCAAAGTCCTTCAAAGTTCCACATGGTGTATGCAACAAACAAGGCTATATAAAGGCTCTGATATTCAGCATGAGATACTCTCATCTGCGCATTGAAGTTGATCCAGCGCGCTTCAGTGGAAGAGAAGGCAATCCAATCAGGATCAGGACCTCAAAGTCAATCAAAGCTACTATTACTGGGCTGGTGCTGAGGCATGTGCACTATCAGGTGAGGAAGAAATGATAGTACGGCAAGGTAGGGAGGTACATGGAGCCAGCTGAGGCGATCCAGTCGGATACAATTACTATATACATGTACAATTATGTGACAAGCTTCTTGGAACACCAATAGAACCACTCCAGCTTCACTGAGAAATGTTAACGCTGCCCAGAAACGCATGATCTCCTTCAAACGCTGGACATCTTCTCGGTCCAGCTCCAGGGATGGTTTTTCCTCTGGCGAATCATCTGCCGTTGCCATTGGCCGGAGTCCGACGCTGCAGCTGCCCAAGTTAAATGTTGGCCTTTGTATACTTACAGCATTGTGTTTCTGGCCGTTTTGGATGCAAGCTTGTTGAGGCGGTGAGAAGCGATGGGAACCAAGCCATACACCAACTGGTGAAAAGTGGAACAAGCTGCTTGCTGCAATCGGCGGTGAAGAACCCTAAATGGCTTGAGCTTAACAGATTCGACACCATGAAGACTGGATGATCCAGCAACGACTGGCATTTTGCGATACGGATGCGGGTGGCAAATATGGGTGAGGGATCAAAAAGCAAAAACGATAACGATCGGCATCAAAACCCTCCAAGGAGGTCACAAAGAGAACAGGATGTACAACTTGTACAACACTTATTCTCAGCGTACTTGTGCAGATTTCGTGGAACACGCAGCACTTTGGGGACCTCAAAGTGGCCTTCGATGTGCAGATTTCGTAGCCATGCAGGTTTCATAGCAGGCACTGCCTTACACGCAAACTCCACGCAAAGAGCCCTTACACGGGCTCTCTGGGCCTCACCGGCCCGCGGGCTAGGGACCCAGCAAAAACAACACAGTTGTTATTCGTGCGACTCCTGCAAGTTTCGGAGGGCGTTTGGTGAGCCTCTAAAGTTCCTATGACCTCCACAACAAAAACTAGACCATGGGACCATGGGGTTGTGCGTAAGTTACACTAACTATAACCAGGTTTTTTGAAAGGAAGTCTACCAGCTTGCTCAAGAAGCATTGTTTGGCCAACATGGTGTGATCGACATGAGTGAGCCGTGTTGTTGAGGTTTCAGAGTTTGCTGAATGCAGAATACTATCCGCAAAGGAATTAGGACTCATGATGAGTTATGACTATCATGAGGTTGTAGTATGTGCTCCCAAGTCTTGACACATGTGACCTGCCAAAGATGGCAGGGAGCATTGAAAAGGCACATGAATAGGAGGTCGAGCTGGAAAACGCGCTGCCTGTTGGCTTCTCTCCAACCCCTACTTATCCTTTCCCCTTGGATGAATATAGATCTGATCAGCAAGTGTGTCCCGTTTGGTGGCTGCAGCAACTTAAAATTGTTTGAGCACACCACTGCTGGGCACACGCGCTGCCTAGTTTATAAGTCCAGGTGCAAGATAGGAGAAACAAACAGCAGGCAACTTGGCAAACACCCCTCAGTTACTTAGGGGTGCCCTTTTGCAGCTTGAAAATGCAGCTGGACCAAAAGAAAAAGGGCACCCGCTCGCCGCTCGACATGTCCTGCTCAATTCAACCTTTGTCCCTCCGGACTGTAAATGTCCCGCTCAACTCAACCTTTCTCCTGACGCATGGGCCCCGCCTATAACCACCAACAGTGAATGGGCCTTGATCAACACCTTGTGTATAAAGAGCCTATCATATCGACCTTCAATGCGAGACTTTTGCGCCTCTCTGCCTCCTATCTCTCCGTGCCTGACAGCAGTTGAAGTGCGCTGTCGGCTTCACCCCATAACCACATTGACGTCTTCTTACGGAGGCTGGTTTTCGTCCCTCCCTTCTTAAATTTTTGTTGCGATTTTAGTGAGCCTGGCATGTTTTGACAAGTAACAGTGCACAACCTTTGCGTTCCTGACAGTCTTGCAAACCTAAATTGAGTACAACTACATCGAGCAAAGATTACTGTTGTTATAGGGCGAAGTCGCGATTCCACTGACCTCTACTGCTGTTAGGCACGGGGAAATAGAAGGCAGAGAACGCAGAGTCTTGCAGTCAGGGTCGGTATAATAGGCTCTTTATACACAAGGCCTTGATCAAGGCCCATTCACTGCCACGCGTTAGAACAAAGGCGGAACCGAGAAGGACATTCACAGTTCGGGGGGCGGGCCTTCTTCTCTTGTTTCCAGGCCGTTTTCACACCAAAAAAAGGGCACCCCTCAACTGTTCTGGTGTTACATCTATGAGAAAGAGACTCTGGCTTGCACACATCCCTCCGCTTCTGTCCTCGGACTGGATGGGCGCACGTGGCTAGTCTGCTCCCTAAGTGTGGGATTCTTTTCGTACATTTCCTATCACGCAGCCATACGCAGTCTCCAACTCCCACCCTAGTCAATAGACATTTTTCCTGGTCTTTTGTTCTTTTTGAGCCTATTCCAGTCCAAGTTGTTCTTTGAATATATACAGTACTATTCTTTCTGATTTACATGGCGCAAATTCAACTGCTCCAAATGTACATTGCATTTTCCCACCCTTTCCGCATGATATGCCACTCATGCTCTACAGCTCGTCTTGAGCTGAACCCCACACCCTGCTACTCAAGGTGGTCTTGATCTCGGCTCTCGCCCAGTCACTTCACTTCACTTTGCTAACGGCCCCAACCGCAAAAGCTACCCGATCCACTAGCTCGTCCTTCGAACCTGTTGTTGGCCAGCCCTGTGACTTCAGCCAGCCAGACAGCAAAGCCTTGCTCTGCTTCCGCAACCAAGCACAAAGCTCACCACCTTGGTCACGCAAAGAGTGCGCAGTTGCTTCGAAGTCTCTCCGCTCTCGCGAGGACACTGCCGGCCCGCTTGGGGCAAGTCGTTTTGGCTTCTCTTCCTTCCTTGAGAGTTTACATACAGAACTTACCACCATCCGACTAAAAGTCAGCTGGATGGAGCTCCAGCTCGACTGACCCACCTCATTTTCAGCAGCCACACGAATTATCCCATGAGCTTGCTGGAAAAAGCTTGGTAACTTGCTTAGTTCTTCCTCTGCCAAATCGTAGGTTGTAAGCTCCTCGATGGTTGTGAAGCGTTTCAAGGTTTCATTGTACTCTGGCTCCAGGACGGTGATTGTAAGAGCCTGACCGTATGCTGGATCAAGTGCAGCCACTAAATATCTTCGGACTGGTGCAGCCAGTGAATTCATATCAGGAGTCCAGTCCAGTCTGATTCGGCGCCGGCCAGGGGCAGCGCACAAGACTGTGGAAGAAAGCCCCTGTGGTGGATTCGGTGGCTGTAGCTGTGAGAAGGCCTTTTCACAGAGCTGTTTTGCCTCCTGAAGGAGATCGATTGCTTGAGCTGCCTTTGGGCAGTTCCCAATGCGATCAGGATGCAGCTTCCGCATGAGAGAGCGAAAGGCCTGGTGAACCAAAGATACTTCATTGACACCGACTTGCAAGCCCAGAATGGCTTTGGCGCGCATCACCTCAGAGCAGAACTTCCTGTCTCGAAGTGGCAGAATGCGAGATATCTCTTGAGAAGCTTCCAGTTCACGGCATCGCCGAGCTGCATCCTAGCGCTCCGCATGTGACACATCCATCATGTGAACCTAACTCTACCCACATCAAGTCACTGGCAAAGAATGTGATGCATTTGTGCGTCTTGAACTTAACCGCCTACTACTCCTACTGGCTTGCTAATAAGAACGGGAAAAGGCTCGAGAACATTAAAATAAATGCTTAAAGGCTTGTCAACAAGATGAATTTGGAAAGCTAAACAACTTGCAGCAAAAGGCCGCTGTGCCGCTGCTCTCCAGGGCCAGGCTATCGCTGTGAAGCCTTCGTGCAACTTCCACCGAAATTACGGTATGCCATTCTTTCCGGCCAAACAGGAAGACATCACTCTACAGCAAGACATCAGTCTGCTCCTCCGCAAGCCAATTCCCGGACTTACTGGAGCATGAGGGCCAGCAGCCTGACAAACAAATTGTCAACTGATGTCACACAAGTTCTTGATATACAGCAGCCATTAAGTCTTACAATGCTAGGTGCAACATAATGCCATTCAGCTCACGGATAAAATACACAGCAAACGTTGCATTGATTTCTTGGCCTTAGAATCTGCACTGTCTGAGAAGCTCTTGGATCCACCTTGCTTTCAAGCAAAACTTTTCGCGAAAGCTGCACTGGACACCATGTTGCCGAATCTTCAGTCAATGACTGTTGGTGACGGAGCGAGGCCGCGACTTCGAGGTGTCCGCAAGGGGCTTTGTCTGCAAGGGGAGGCAACAGGTGTATCAAACGAGATCCTTCTTGTTGTCGCCGCTGGTGGAGACGGGCAGCTTCGGAAGAAAAGCTTCTGCTGAGTGTTCACCTCGCGTAATCCTTTCTTCAGGTGGTCCGGCACCTGCCAGGCGCTAGGTGCTGGTCATTAAGATGCGCACAAGCTGCACATGGCAAGGAAGGATGGAACAGTGAGCATGTGCAAACTACGCGATACGTGTGCCACAGACAAGCATCTGAATGTCCAAAACTCTACCCTTCATGATACCATATTATTGAACTGCACAAACGCACTTAACAGAAGTCGAATGGGGAGAGAATTGAGTCAAGCAAAAAGCCGCTAAAGTCAACGTATTGAGTCAAGCACACGCCGCAAGCACACGCTGCAAAGTCAATGGATTGAGTCAAGCACACCGCAAGCACACGCTGCAAAGTCAATGGATTGAGTCAAGCACGAGCCGCGAAGTCAATGGGGACATGTTTTCACCGCTCTACACCTGCAAATCTATCCCATGGGCCCAGTCTACGACACCTCACAAGCAGCAAAGGCACCTTGAGTCTCGACTTGGATGGTGACTGTTCTGACTCGGAAGGTGGCTCAGCCCCCCTTGCTGCCAAACGCTGTCGCAAGGATGGTGCAGAGGGCTGTGAAGCAGCCTGGTAAACAAAACCATTGCGACCTTGCGACCGCTCATGACAGCAATCAGAAAACCCCAAATAAAGGCTAACCACACTGCTCGACACCAAGGTTCCCACAAGTCTGCGCAGTTTTGCAGGTGGCTCACATGGTGTACTCTCCACCTTTGTCAATGAATGCCATGAATGCACCCTCGTTTGAACTATGCTCAAAGCCTCAGGTTCAACTCCTTCAGCATCACTGCCAGTGCGGAAGTGGCCGCCACTGCCTGGCCCCGAAATACATAGAAAAATTAGAAAGACCGTGTGGATATATATAGCCCAAATGATGTCATATATATATATATAGAGAGATATATATATATACACTACTAAGTACACTACTATATAGCCCAATGGACTCATTGACTTCACCGGGATACATGCAAGCAGGGGTCAGTTCGGATCCTCCACCTCCACGTGGTGGCCCTGGGCCCTCCTTGACGGAGGGTGCGAAGTTAGACTAACAATAAAGCTTTCTAGTGACTAGAAGCCACTAGGTGGAGGCCATGGCTATTAGGTTGGAGGCCATCGCTGCTAGTAACAATAAAGCTTTCTAGTACCTAGTTACCTGGCTCCTGGGGGAGCAACGTATGAGGGCGCCTGCCTGGCGTTGGTCGCATGCTTGGTGCCGGATAGGAACGAGCGCCCGCGTGGGGCTGACAAGTCCAAGATGCTGCTGTTCGTTTTCTTCATGGGTGTTCTCTATGTAGTTCCTCTCTCGAAGTGCAGGTGGTCGATTTCAAGGAAATCCTCTACGGCTTGCATCTCTTTTTTGCTGAAAAAGGTTGATGATTAGGCTGTGGTTCGTCTACAGCAAGAGCTCTATAATCGTGGGTTAGTCTTTTCGGGCCTTCATACTTGTGGTCCTGTCGTGGACAAACCTCACGTGTCGTGCCCCATCCCTTCTTTAAGTGGGCCAGTTCGCTTCCCTTCCCCTTTTGAGGGGGCCGTGCTTGCTGTTCAGGGCTTGGTCTGCTGATAGCTACAGCACCTACAACTCCATATACGTATAATAATGATTAAAATACACCTGAGGAGGGGGAGGGCGAAAGCCAGCTGTTTTTCCGACGGCGGCTGCAGGGCTGAGGTCGGGGATCGTCGCGGTCAGGGACCGCCGGCCGCTGCATCCAGAGAAGGTTCGGGAGAAGGTACCGGGGCAGGTCCATGAGGTTCTGGAGAAGGTTCGGGGGCAGGTTCCAAAGCAGACAAGGCTCCAGAGGAGGGTGTGGACAGCGAAGAGATTTTCCGAGTCACGCTTCATGCTGTTGGGGACTTTGCTTGGGCTTATGCCACTGATCCGCCCAAAATATAACCATACTTCGCAGCTACACCTCTCTTCCCAGAGACATAGAGACACAGAACCATAGAGACAAAGAGACACAGAGTCATAAAACACAGAGACCTAAAACACAGAGAAGTTGCTATCTACAGGGGGTCCTTTTCCGATAGCAACTTGTCGCTGCCAACCAACTACCATACTTGCCCCAATACATCCAACCAAACTTCTCTGACAGGATGACTAGGAGGATGGCAGGAACTATATGTCTCAGCATTGGTGTCACCAACCGTGATCTAAAAATATGGCATAGATCCGTGACTATAACCAATCCTTAAACAGCAAGCTCTTCACCCCACCAAGTTGCTATCTACACGGGCCCCTTTTCTGATAGTGACTTGTCGCTGCCAACCATCTACCATACTTGCCCCAATACATCCAACCAGTTCCATTTGGAAGCAATCATCAAGTACTTTTGCACGTCATAAACATTACGACAAAATCTTTCGGACAAGTACTGTTGCGACCAAATTCCGTCACAAAGCCTCCAGCCACTATATAGACTAGGGTATGTTTTACCTGCTTTGCCGGCCCAGTCAATACCATCTAAGCTCGAAACGGCTACATGGTTCCACAACAGCCAATGGCCAAACCGTGCATTGACTGTATTGACCCGAAAAGTCGAGCCACCACTGTGAACATAGCCGCACAGCCGTTACTGCACAGCCATTATTGAACCAAGCGTTTGACACTTCAGGTCAACCACGTTCAAGTTGGTATGGGACTTCCAACGTTGGTGGATAAACTCCTGCACCAGCCAGTCTGGGACACGGTTTCGGCCAAGACTGCACTGCTTATCTATCTATCTATCTATCTATCGATCTATCGATCTATCCTGTACTATCTAGCTGCGCGGCCAAGCCGGAACAATGTTCGGTGCACGTGGACGCCGCGAGAAGCATCCGCTCGACGGTACAGGTGTAGTAGAGACTAGGGTGGTTGCTCTGTACATGGGTGCCTGTCTCCACTCCAGTGCTCAATGCCCATTGTCCAAATAGCCTCCACAGCCCTTCGTGATGCTAATGATGCGCTACTCGGCGTCCATTGCATCACTCGCATCACCAGACCCCATTTTCACTGCTTTTCTGACCCTCGCTTTGGAGCGCTCTCCCCAGGCAAGCTCCGGGTTCACCCTCTCAAATGGTGCCTTTTCGCGGCCTACCCCCCCCCCCCACACCCCTTAACTCACTTCGTTCGGTCTAAGAGCTCAAGCCTAGCCTATCGGCTGGCTTTCGTAGTATATGGATACATGCAAGCAGTCATGCCTTAGCTGCCAACCGACGTCGCCCTTTTATTACCTAACACCTTTGATTTGAAAACAGGTGGCCCGAACATGCTGCACCAAAGGGTGATCACATCCTTTGACATAAGTGCGCTGGTGATGTCAAATTGTTGCGTCTACTACTTGGTCACCCGGATCAGAATCCAGAATCATATGGGGCCAGGCCAACTTCTTCTTGGCTCAGCTGCATGGTAACATCTTGAGGTAGATTCACGGAACAGGTGCGCCAGCGAATCGTAAGCCAACGTGAACTAGTAGATGGACGGTTGCTGTAATCGGGTGAGCTACAGTAACTAAATGGCGAGCTTAATCCATCATTCATTTGATTCTATGGTGAAATGGTAAGTAGAAATGAACAGCTAGCCCAATCCCGAGCGGGTTCATGGCGAGCATTGCCGTCCTCCTGAAACAAACCGCGAAAACCAGACGCAACCAGAGTAGGGCAGTCCTCATGCCCTAGAATTGGATAGCTGAGGTGTTCCTCTCCGTGTTCTGTGTTTCTTCCCTCTCATGCTTGATGTGCCCGAGCGCCAACGCAATGCAAACCATGCGTGTAACCGATGTATCGTCATCATGTCCTCATTCATCTTCTCCGTCAATTCTTCTTTATCAGTTTGCTCATCTTGTTTCATCATTGTTTCATATTATACATGTTCATCTTCATCATCACCTTATGTTGTCTTCTTATTTGTCTTCTTCTTCTTATTGTTATGTTTATGTTCTTCTTAGTATTACTACTATTATCATTACTAGTATTACTATTATTTTTCTTATTCATATTCTTCTGCTTCTCCTTCTTCTCCTTCTTCTCCTTCTTCTCCTT